TAAGCAGAAATTAACACCAAGATTAACACCAGACAAACAATTAAGCAGTAAACAATACCCTAATAAAGGAACTACCAAGAAAAGAAAAGAAAAAAACAAGAAAACAACCAAGCTCAGAGAACCCCAAGGACTCCACAGTGCAACCCTGAGGTACATACATTCTCTTCTATTGGTATTAGCTATATGGCTGGCAGCAAGAGGCAAGTAGGACTAAGTTAGGGTCAGCATATCAGAGCTACAAAACTCCAGATAACCACTGTATGGCAGCAAAGAGATGCAGAAAGTTCTTTGCTGTCATCTAGTGGTCATTTGAATGATTGCAGCCCTGATCTGTCCTCTTCTCAGAATTCTAAAGAAGTTTAGCAAATCTTCCCCCAGATTGATGTTACTCAACAAAACAGGAAATATAAACAGTGTTTGGCTTGGCACTGACTCATCAACTGTCAAGCAGCATCCTCTAACCAGCCTCCTCACATACAGATTATAAGTTAGACTTACAGCTAATTCACAAAATGGGTTTGGCTGCTTGCCTCTTTCTTAGTTTGCCTCAGTGGAACTCAGCAAAAAAGTTCTTCCCTGTAGATTCACAGGGATCTCCCTATTCCCAACCCCCACTTAAAGGCAGAGAAGAATGAGCAAAGTTTATCTCTGCCCCTAACAAAATAATAGAGCAAGATGGGAAAAAAAGTCAACACATGATTCAGAAGGGCAACACAATCCTTTGAACTACAGGTAGTCCTCAGTTAATGATGGCAGTTGGGACCAGGATTGCTGTCACTGAGTGACATGGTCATAAAGTACAATGTTACACTTTGCAACATCAATTCTGGCACTTCTGGTTGCCATCGTTAAGTGAATCACCGCAGATTGTTAAACGAGGACCTCACGTAATCGCCATTTGCAACCTCCTGCTGGCTTCCCCACTGACTTTGCTTGTTGAAAGACAGCAAAGAAAGTTGCAAATGGCAACCATGTGACTGTGAGATGCTGCAGTTTCATAATTGCAAGCTGGGTGCCGAGCACCCGGATCCCAATCACATGACACTGGGATGCTGCAACAGCTGGAACTCTGAGGACTGGTCATAAGTATCAGTTGTTTAGCGATACGCTGTCACAAGTTCAAATGGTCGCTGAACGAGTGGTTGTTACCCAAGGGTCACCTGTATCACACTGGTACCTGAGCTGGATTGATAGGTATGAAATGGTCCAACTAGTACCATTCTGCTAATACTTTTTGATTTCAGTAAATAATATAGTTGATTTTTGTTTGCAATAGTGCTGCTGCTGTTTCTGAAAGATTATGATGGAATAAGCATGTGCTTAGTTTTATTTCATGGGATGTTCAGGGCTGTGGGCTAAGAGAAACTTGCCTTGGGAAATACTGAGGGGTAGTTTTTAATAGGGCTGTAAAGAAACTTCCCAATCTGCTTCCAGGACTGAATCCAGAAGTCTGCAACCTTTTTTGCACTTCACAGAATGGGATGGACTCTACAGAAAAGCCAGGCCATCACAAGGAGATGAAGTCTACAGGGAAAGAAGTTGCTATGACTATTTATCTCAAGAAGCAAATTTCCAGGACAAAAAGCCAGTTCCTCAACTTAGTCTTTCAGTTCTGATGGAAAGCTTGGGCCAGAAGCAGTATCATGAAAACATTATCTATTCAGGGTGCTCTACACAGGCTCCAGAAAATTTCTCAGTGCAATAGAAGAAGAATCTTCTTATTTTCTATTATATTCTAAGAATCACTTAGCTTAACCTTCCATTAGCTACCCGCCATTCCCGATGAACAGCATCCACCACTCTTAGATCTCTTGAAAAGTCTACATCGGGGGCAGCGGTGTCTACAGCAAACTGCAATGACACCACAGTGATGGCATGTTGGCAATGACATCATTATGTAAACACCATCGTTACACACTTGCTTTTCTATCAGGTAATAATGTAGGGATTTGAGCTAGCCATTTACTGGCT